CACACACACACACACACACACACACACACACACACACACACACACACCAATCCATAGGGTGCCTGGCCCAGTCCCCTCCAAGAGCACCCTATTCCTGGAGATGCCCAGGGCTCAGGGAAAGGGAATCAGGGAGCAGGTTGCTGACATTCCGAGGACACAGAATCTTGTTTACCTCCATGCTGTGCAGTTCAACAAGGGCCGTCTGTCCATCACTGAGAGATCTGGGACCCACACACACCAGCTGACCTCCTGGCCCAAAACTCACAGGCACGTGAGGGATGTAGAACTTCATGGGTGTCTTGGGACCAGCTGCCGAGATGTCCTCTAACCAACAGACACAGATGGACACTGTTAGCATTACTGCCACTGCTTTGCTTTACTTTAGAAATACTCCACAGACACACTTCTTTCCAAATTCCACCTGGGACCAAGATAAGATTCTGGATGGGCTACATAACTAGAAGAAGCCCATGCTCCAATAAGAGCTGAACCTCTGAGAATATGTCAGAATATAATGCAAGGAGTTGATGGTTTGGTGCAAATGATAATGTACCAGGGCCAGACTCCCAGCAATGGTGACACGCTGGGAACTCTGGTTCTCATAGCCCCAGTACTCAGGGCAAGTCTCCTACATCCAGACCTTTGTGACCTGCCTTCACTTTCCCAAACTGACTCTGGTCTTTATTTTCTTCACCTATTACCTAACAGTACCTCTGAGTTCCGCCTCTCCCAGCCTGGTGATGGCTAGGGGCAGTGTTCCCTTCCAAGAATCAGCTATGATGCAATCTCCAGTACCAGAGAAAAGGGGGGAAATGGAGCCAAAGTTGGCCACTCTGCTCAGGAGACCTACCTAGAAAAATGAGGCAGACAAATGGTCTACTCTTGGAAATACAGGGCAAAGGTGACTTTCCAAGACATGTGCCACCCAGCCCTCTTCTCAACAGACTCAGCCAACTCCTTTGATCACTTCAGTACCCACCAGCCTGAACTGGACTCCAACCTGCTGCAGCCGTGGGATCGTACAGCTCAGAGGCATCTGTCATGTACTGACTGAGCTCATAGCTGCTGGAGGTGAGACCAGACTCGTGCTGCCGGAGAAGGTTGGACTCCTCGGTCAGTGATGGCTGAAATTAAAAACAACAAAACACATGGGAAGAATCAGAAGCGCTTTCAGAGAGACGGTCCTCCCAAGTGTTTCTTCAAAGCAACAAAATTCAAACTTTCAAATAAATATAATGAATGTGGATGTGCTGAAAGGAAAAGAAGGGATCATTCAATTGACAGGTGTTTGCTAAAGGATTCACTGTGGCCTAGTGGGAAGCATGCAGGTCCTGGGGTCAGGGAGGGTGAATTCAATCCCAGCTTTGTCAATACCAAGTGCTGTGAACTTGAACAAGTGACTTAGACTCGCTGAGCTCAGGACCTTTATCTGCAATGTAGATAATCATACCTACCCTATATAGTTCAAGTACTTACTCTTGCATTCATTCACCAACTGTTTAATGAGCACTTACTATGCTCCAGGTGCTATGCTTTCCCTAAGGATACAGGTGTACAAGAAATTCACGGAATTTACATCCTGAGGACTGTAAAACAATGGATGCAAACAATGGATACAAAAGCTCTTTGTCCACACTGTAAAGTGCTGTACGTGTGTATGGCTGCTGTTACTGTGTTGTTGTTACTGTTAGTCATAATAGGTGCCCCACCCTGTGAAGCATCAGGTGTACAGAAGAAACTGGCCCCACGAATCATACAAATCTCATCAGGGATACAAAATTAATACAAGACTGTCAAAAATGAAGAGTTTTTCTCTGTAGTATGTTTGTAACTTTTCCATAAATCTAAAATTATTCCAAAATTTAAAGTTTATTGTAAAAAAAATTCAAGAGCTCCATTTTGTAACCCAGCTGGTACACACAGTAAGATTTTAGAAAAGAGAGATGGAAGAGTCAAGAAAAGTTCTGCTTTTCAGACCTGAATTAAAAGATTCTAGCAACTTCCCACTTCCTGGGTAAACCGAATTGCTAATCCACTGGGATACCGGTGACAGCCTCTTCTCTTTCCTACCTTGGAGTGACTTGGGTGACATTTCCTGATCCAGCCAACTTGGCAAAAAAAATGCAAAAGGGCCAGATCAGGGCCCCAGATCCAGAAGACTGAAACAGGGAGCAGGGAAAGGAAGAGGTGGGTAGAGGCTCTGCCAATTGGGGAGGAATGGGACCCCTCAGACTGCTGGCCACTGGGGACCCCGCCCCACGGGGCCCTGCTCTGCCCCTACTGACGAGGGCAGGTGTGATTCACTGTCACAGACCACCAGCCCCATGTCACTTCAGGTTACCTTGTTTTTCTGGGCCCCAGTTAGCGGACTCTCCACAAATAAGTCCCCAGGCCTCTCCTGTCCAGAGTTAGAAGCAGGACTGTCTTTATAAGGGTTCCAACGCTTAGATCTGCGGCAAAATGACAGGAGCAGGTGAGAGGGGGTCCAGGGCAGGCCAGCAAGGCTGAGCTGCTCTCTGCTGGAGGCTGTTCTGCTGCAAAGCGTGGGCAGGTGTCGGGTTGGCCCGTGTGTCGCAGGGAAAAGCCTTGTCCTCCATTTCTCCGCCTCAGTCTATTGGACCAGAAAAACAGGAGCTCCTGGGGTTCATAGTACAGTTACTAGAAGTGGCCCCAAACCCTGCAGAGGAGGCTCAGTCTCTGTAGCCTGACGTCCTGGAATAAGTTAAATCAGAGCAGCTGGGCTGGTGAGTTCCAGGCAGGGTTAAGGCACCAGGTCTAAGGGCACCAGAGAGGTGCTTGAACAAAATGCTGTTCCCTGCTCACCTTATCCCACGGGAGAGCCCATTCTCAGGGCACAGGAGGGGACAGAGAAGAAGCACCCCAGCCCCAGGCAGGACCCAATCAGGAGAACTTCTGCAAGGCCACATCTGTTCCGAGGCCAACATAGAATTAAGGCCCTCCTCTAAGATGGACCTCAAGTAATCTCACAGGTTTTGGGAACCACCTCTCAGAATTAAGAATCCCTCCTCCTAGTGTCCATGGGAACAGCTGGTCCCAGCCAACCCAGGCTACTCTCACACCCCTGTGGCCAGAACAAAAGCAGACGGGCTTCTGAAGATGAGGGACCAGCACCAGATGACATAAGGTTTGCCTAACATAGCCTGCGTTTGGCTGAATCATGTTGAACCGGCCTCTCCTTTCACACTTACTGGAACTGGGTCTCACTATTTGTTCCAAACGGACTATTCTGGTTTTCATGTTGGTGTTCATTCAGGTACTTTTTATCTCGATAATCTTCATGCCAGATATAAGGACTCCCTTGCCTTGCCACTGCACCCTCAGAAAAAAACAAAATAAAGACAGGTCACTTCCTATTCCTAAAAGTTCAGAAAGACCCTAGCAAGCCATGAAGCTGAGTTACTGGAGCACAGCAGGTATAAAAACATACAATCATCCCTCTGTATCCATGGGGGGGATTGGTTTCAGGACCTGGGGAAGTTCAAGTCCCTCATATAAAATGGTGTAGTGTTTGCATATAGCCTATGCACATCCTCCGTATACTTTAAATCATCTCTAGATGAATTATAATGCCTAATACAATGTAAATGCTATGTAAATAGTTGCAAATACAATGTGGGTGCTCAGGGAAATAGTTGCCTACAAGCAGCAAATTCAAGTTTTGCTTTTTGGAATTTTCTTTTCTTCGAATATTTTCAATCATCAGTTAGAGGCAGACCCGCAGATTCGGAGGGCTGACCATATTTGCCAAATTGAGTAAAGTAAAGTTGATAAGTAAAAGCCAACAGTGAAAGTCCATAAGATGCATCTCTCTGAACCAACGAGCACGGCTCTATACGATGGGGATCTTATGTGTGTGCACAGATGTTTGTGTTTTCAACGTTGAAACAGGTTTCTCTTTGCTAGCAGGTCAGAAGATGCCTTTAGTACCTACCTAAAGCCTTACTATTGGTGTAAGGTTTAAATTCTTTTTTTGTACATATCTGCCTCCCTCAGGGTAAATGATGGTCAGACTCATTACAGCCCAGCCACACACTTGATGACTTCACTGTTAAGAACTGGCTTCACTGTTACTTGGTCAGAGACTATAATCTTAGAAGAAAAATATGGATGAAGTACAAACTACCCATAATACTAGTAATGTAGTAACAGTGTCAGTGCCGTCATCTACACGTACAAAGAAAAATGACTCTTTTCTATCTCTTCTTCTCAAGACATTTAGCAGTAGTGTCATTGCTGTGGCCTCATCTGGCCAAGCAAGAAGCAGGTGAGGCTGGGGCTCTACCTCAGCCCAGCAGGAGGCCCAGGGTGAGGCTCCGAGCACGGCCCCTTTGCCCTCTGCCCTATCCGACCAGCTGCACCATCCCAAAGGCTTCTTGGAGATTATTCCGTACCTCCTTCTTCCTGCAGCTGCTGCGGGTGTCCATGGTAGTAATAACTTCCATAAGCATATTCTTCCCTTAGGGCTGGAGAGTGATAGCTTTGATAGAGATCCTCAATGCCCGGCCTAAAGGATCACAAAGAAGACCAGTCATTCAAGGATGAGCATGGTAAAGAGAAAAACCAACGGAGGACTTGACAAACGAAACAACTTCAGAGGACAGAACTGTGACCCCTGTCTAGAATCTGCTCTAAAGCCACGGTTCATTCTGGATCCCATAACCAAAAAATCCAGAATCAGAGCAGGAGTAGGACCGTTGTGTCAGAACAAGGCTGCAATTTTTATAGCAAAACCATAGCCAAGTGTCTCATTCTCCCTCCCCATGGTCCCTCTTGCTCCTCCAATACACACACAACCAACAACACAAAATATTATCTGAGAAAACCCTGCTCTGACATCACCTTAGGAAACCCCTTCCCAAGAAGACTGTGTAAGTGCCTCATATACCACTGCAATTCCCATGCATATTATAGATGGCAATGAGATGAAAAAGTCAAGTTGGACCATCTTAAATCTGATTGCTTTTATTGCCTCTGTCCTTAACATACCTTCCTTCGTGAATTCAACAAAGGAACGTCATGTTGTTAGTATCTTTATCAATTAATAATTCTTTACTATTTCATAGGGGCAGAATTCTTTACAATAATTGTCATAATTTCAACCCTAAATCTGGAGGCAGGAAAACATCACCCCACCTGAAAAAGTTAAAGTAGAAAATAGATGGCTTGCAACATTAAATATGAAGTCCAGGAGGAGGAACTCCAGATTCTCCAGATTCTCCTAGAATTACCTCACTGAGACCTCTTCATTCTGAATTTGGAGCCTACAAGCTTGTATTTGCTTTCTCTGATTTTTTTTTAAGTTCCCATTCATTCACTCAATACATTGTTTATTTCTGTACCCATCACACTCTAGGTGATGTTCTAGGCACTAGGGCTCTTCTTGGTGCTGGTGGGTCAGTGCTAACCCTGGGTCAGAGTCTTCCAAAGAGGATAAGGAACTTTTTATAGAGGTCCATAGGAAAAGCTTTTCCAGAGTCTACAAACATTGCCTTTTGTGATCCCAGAGTAAGAGGGTCTCATCTGCTGTCTTGAATTTCATCATTCTTTCTACCCTCTCCCCGCATCACCCAATCACATTGTGATGGCTTCTTTAAGAAGCTCCCCTAGGGGATAAAGAAAGGAAAATATTATATTTTCAGTCACCAAAATCCAATTTGGGAGAGGAAAGGGTATAGCTAAGTCAGTGTAGTAGGGTGGAGAAGGAAAAAGAAGAAAAAGAGGAGAAATAAAAGGAAAAGGAACAAGGAAAAGAGCAATCTGTTTGTAAGCATTTAGGAGAGCTGGGTCAATTCCAGCTCTAAACCCATACCTTGAATACAACTGACTGGGATAACCACCTTTATAATAGTCATCCCTGGACACAGGCGGATGCCATTCCCCAGGCCTGGACGCGTAGTGAGGCTGCTGGTGGTCTGCCTCAGGGTCCTGCTGTGGTTGGGGGCTCCTGCCCATGTCTTGTTCTTGTTGGACCCTCTCTCCATTGTGCCAAGAGTGACGAATAGGCCGATAGTATCTATCTCTCTGAAGCCCTCGGTCTGGATCCCTTGATGGTGCTGGGGGCCTCCCCTCTGGCTGAGGCGGCCACTGGGGAACCCAAGGCTTCATCCCTGACCTTCTGAATTTCTCTCGTGTTTTGAGTCAGTTGTGTAGTTATTTTATCTTCCTACAGACAAAACAGAAAGAAAAAAATTATCATCATTTTAGGCCTATATCCAAACATGAAGGTTAATTAGGTTTTGTGAAAGAAGCACCTACGGTCCTCAAAATCTTCTATCTAAAACCACACAGGCACTGATACAGAGATAGCTGAAAAAAATCTTAAGGAGATATTTGAAATAAATAACCGGCTAGACAACTATACTGATGTTGCTATAAAAATTAAAAAGTATATTTGGAGCAACAATAGATGTGGGAGGCATGGGAGAGAGAACAGTAATAGATGAAGCTCCAAAACACTATCAAAGTATCCCAATTAAATACATGTGTGCTGGACTTCCCTGGTGGCACAGTGGTTAAGAATCTGTCTGCCAAGGCAGGGGACATGTGTTCGATCCCTGGTCCGGGAAGATCCCACATGCCGTGGAGCAACTAAGCTCATGCACCACAGCTACTGAGCGCGCGTGCTGCAACTACTGAAGCCCGTGCACCTACAGACTGTACTCTGCAACAAGAGAAGCCACCGTAATGAGAAGCCCACACACCACAACGAAGAGTAGCCCCTGATCGCCACAACTAGAGAAAGCTCGCACGCAGCAACGAAGACCCAACACAGCCAAAAATAAAATAAAAATTTAAAAATACATGTGTGTTCACATATTCCACCAGTAAATGTTTATTCAACATTTACTATGGAGGCCGTATGCTGTCATAGAAATAGAGTGGGCCTTAGACAGAGCTAGACCACAGTTCAAATCCTAACTCTGCCACTTATTAGCTAGTTAAATTTTTCAAGCCTTAATTTCCTTACCCATAAAATGAGGACCATAATGAGCTGACAGGGTCACTGTCAGAGTCAGAGATCCTTACACTCTGGCTGGTATATAGTAATTGTTCAATAAATAGCAGTTAGTGTTATCAGAGATAAAGATTAGGGTAGTGTGAGCAGCTGAAGACATTTCCTAAATAAAAAGGAGCTTAAAGTGACCTCAAGAGACATCTTTTCTGAATCCTTGAAGTCTTAGAAGAACTAGGCCCTATAATCTGGCCATTCCTGCCCCTGCTCCAGGGGAGGCGATGAGACGCAAGTTTGGGATTGCTTCCCTGACAAACTAGAGAGCCGTGTCTGGAGATTTTAAAACCTGGAAGTCTCCCCAGCATCAAACTGATTTTCCCCACTTATGCTTCAAAATGGGAAATAGCTCCAGACGACAAGATACCTTCCAAGCTTCTCTGCTTGTATCACAGAGCAGCACCCGCGTCCAGCTGCCCCCAGAGAAAAAGCACACATCACACCTTACTGCTGCTCAGGAGTCTCTCGTGTCAGAATACACAGCTCAGTCACACCCCGTGTTTCTTCTCCCTTGGGAACTATTTTACGTTGAAAAGTTCTGATCGGATCCAGTCAACTTGCTCCCACTCCTGAAACTCCCAGCCCAATATAAAACTGAATATCAGAACAAAAGGTCAAAGGGTGTGTGTTGAAATCAGGACGTCACACTGCTCGAACGCGGCGGAGCCAGGGTCCCAGCTATGAGCCGAGAGCTGTACGCAGAACATACCAGAAGAACAAAGCACAGAAGTGCCTTCCACCTCGAGAGCAATCCAGCTCAGGAAAACCTGCACCTTCCTTCCCGTGTCAGCCCACTTGCTTGAAAAAGTCAGGTGCGATGAGAGCCTTTTCCAGCAAATCCCAGCAGAGGCCAAACGCCCCGGACACGGTGAAAGGCTAAATGGGTTTTTCCTGAAGGCCCACGGAACTGGATAGCATTTGGACACAAGCAATTTCAACAAGAAGAAAGCTTCTTCCACCTTGTTCCCAGATATTTTCACTAGACAGCCTTCCTCCGACTGCAAAGGCGCAATACCCAGTCCCTTTGCCAAAGTCAACTATAATTGATTTTCGTTGCCAAGATATCAACTCCAGCAGGTTAGACCTCAGGTTACAATTAAGGACCCCAAATGAAAATCACCTAAGATTCTCCAAATGAAGGCATTACATCTACGGTGACAAGTCATACTCACACATCACATAAATGACCTTCCCTGGTCCCACTAAAGTCAGTATTGCCTTTCCTAATTTGACAGCACAGCAAGTACAGCCAAGACAAAGCAAGCAAGGGCGCTAGCATTCCCACACACCTGCTCTGACGGCTCTCCACCACCTTCCCTCAGTGCAGCTCCAGGAGTGTCTGCTCTCCTCCTGGACACTGTCAAAGTCCAGGTGCCACATCTACCAAGACTTACCTGGCCCTCAGATCTACAGCCTGTCAGCTACCTTTGCCACGGCCTCCATGGAGCCGATTCACGAGGGCAAAGTACAGCGCAGCTCCCCCAGTCGGCCAGACCCAGCTTGTATTTGCTCACAACCCTGTCAGAGGCTGCTGCTTCTGTTTGCCTGGTCGCGGGCTGAGCCAGGTTCACTCACATGTGACATGTGACAAAGCATCCAGACCCCCACAGCAAACAAGGAGCAGAGACCCGAGGGAGAGGAAGTGCAGAAAGCCTTGAGGCAGCCTGACCCGGGGAGAGGAGCGTGGCCTATGGGCTGTGAACTCCTGGCTTGGCCACGAGTGGCTCTATCGCTCAGCCTCTCAGCTTCTTCTCTAAAAGGACAATAACAGTACTTAGCTTATGAGGGTCATCGTGAGGAGTACAGGCAGACCTCAGAGATATTGCCAGTTCAGTTCCAGACCACTCCAACAAAGCGAGTCACACGAATGTGCTGGTTTCCCAGGGCGTATAAAAGTTACATCTACACTGTACTGTAGTCTATTAAAGTGTGCAATAGCATTATGTCTAAAAAACAATGTACCTTAATTTTAAAACATTTTGTTGCAAAAAAAAAAATGCCAAAACAATTACAATAACATCAAAGATCACTGATCACAGATCACCAAAACAAATGTGATAATAATGAAAAAGTTTTACATATTGTAATAAATACCAAAATGAGACGCAGAGACACAAAGCAAGTGTTATTGGAAAAACGGCACCGACAGACTTGTTTGACGCAGGGTTGCCACAAACCTTCAGTTCGTAAAAAACACAGTAAAGTGAAGCGATATAAAACGAGGTATGCCTGTAAATGTTGGCAAGGTGGCACATGATATATAATGATGTATGCTCTTTAAATAAGTATTATCTGTTCCTTTCAAAAGAGATGAGCTAATTCTACTGGTTGAGGCAGGCAGAGTACTCACTGGTGGGTAGTAAATGCCCAGTTTGGGTTGTTCTCATTCATGTTTCTCTTCATTGGATTCTGGTTGTGCATCAGTTGTGCTATCTAGATGGAAGGCAAATTTAAATTCCCAACATTGAACTGAAGGCACTGAGAAGTTTTCTACTACAAGAAAGTAATTTCTTTGTTTGAAAAATACATTTCTTTAGGTAAGTACAGAGTAGCTCATGTCCACTTTTGAATTAATATTTTAAAAGTCAGCAAATCATCATGCTGTACCCCTTAAACTTATATGTTATATGTCAATTATATCTAAATAAAGCTGGGGGTAAATATAAATAAAACTCAGAATTTGCTCTAAAAAGGCTCAAATCGTTTATTCTTTCTTTCAACAAACACTAAGTCCTTATTATGTATCAGGATTTGACACACATAGACATGAAGGACACAGTCCTTGGTTCTAAAAAGCTTCGAGCAAATTAACTTCTCATGTTGTTATTAGTCCAGGGAAGACCGCCACAGTTGGTCTCATGGTCAGATAGGGTAAGGTACCGAACCTATAAGACTTTGTCACGGCTCTACAACTGACTCCTAGGACCTGACAACTGAGTGTAGAATTCTCTGACTCTGGGTCATTGTTTCTTACCCCACTGGTGAGGTTTGACTCACTAATGGCTGCACTGCCATTTTTAATCCTCCTGGGAAGAGGTACTGGAGAAGGACACACACACTGACAGCCGGAGTCAGAACATGGTTGATTATGACACAGACTCAGATATCAAAATATCTGTCCCAATATCTCACAATAACATTCAGAAAAATCTGATGTAACTCTTTTGGCTTATAACATGACGTTTGTCCTGCCCTATAACACCAGCTACATTACTGAAATGTTGACTTTGGAAGATACCTTACAGGTTATTTTAGCAACTTCACTTCGTTGGTAATAAAACTAAGATCCAGAGAGATTAAGTGATTTACCCAACGTCACAAAGCTAACTAGAAACTCAGTTAAGATTATATTGATGTACTGGACCTGTCTTGCATTGGGCTTACAAGAGCTGATTATTAAATATTCAGGAATTATGTGAGCCAGTAGTTAGACCATTGATCATTTGAAATCCACCACAGTGAGAGTATTTACACCACAGAAATTGGCAAGTGCTACAAAGCCAGGTTGTTGTTGTTTTCCAATAATCAGTTTATCGGCATAATGATTACAACTCCAAACTCCTAACTCCTATTCCAGTGTTCTTTCAACCACAGAATTGTCATTCTTTTACAAGCCTTCATTGCACATCTCTGGTTTAAACATCTAGCTCAGTTACTCCAAATGCTCCTTTTGTGACATCCCAAAGCGTCCCTAATTATCTCAAGAGTTATTATGAAACTCTTCAAATACTCACCAACCAAAATTAATTTTAATTAGTTTTAATTATTTTATATAGACATATGGCATAACACAGTTATATGGGTCATGGAATGAAATAGATCGCGTGGGATCTCACCACTCCAAAAGTTTGGGATTTACCAGTCCCTGCCTTCCCCAGCCCCATATATCAACAGTTACTAAGTCTTTCAACCTGGCAACTCAAGTCTTCCTGATTCCTAACAAAATTCACTCAGTTTGAGAATACATTAGCAGCTCATCCCCAACAGGAGTTGGGCTAAAATTGGTCTTGTCACCTCAAGTCCTGGCTGCAGTGCCCTGGCATGATCCCACAGGCTCCCACATGCTAGAACAGTTATAGTCTTCACATTATCTCTTCCCCAAGTGTCCTGTCCTCTTGCCTGATTCCTGCTCTGCATTCCAACTATCCACTGCA